ACATGTATTAAAAGGGGTCGTGTTTAGTCACTATTTAGTGTGGTATTTTTTGACAATATTCACTCATCATGACAGTAAAATAGGGCATTCTAAGTCAATATACTGCAGTATTTCCTCTCAATCAGTAGAAGATATGGTTAACACCCGGTCATGCATGAAAAAAAAAAAACCGTCATGTACCGTGAAACCGGTATAATTTTGAAAAATACCGTGATATAAATTTTTGCTCATACCGCCCAGCACTATATTATATTATATATATATATATATATTTTTTTTTTAGTTATATTATAATAGTAATTATATTATATTATATATATTTTTTGAAAGAAATTAAAACAAAAATAATTTCAGCAAGGATGCAGTATATTGATCAATGTTAACAGTAAATGTATACTGTTACAAAATATTTCTATTTACAATAGAACCTGTTGTTTTGAATTTTATATTCATCAAAGACTCCTGAAAAAAAAAGAAAAAAAATGATCATGGTTTCCACAAAAATATTAAGCAGCACAACTGTTTTCTACATTGAAAATAATAAGAAATGTTACCTGAGCACCAAATCAGCATATTGGAATGATTTCTGAGGGATCATGTGACACTAAATCATGTAAACACAGTTACCACTATGTTTACTTTGCCATATCTAGTGCCATAAATACCATAACACTTTCTTGTAGGGAATTGTAATGTTTAATAATTAATTTTATTATGTAAATATATTGTTGTTGTTTTTTGCATTGGAAAAAAAAGTATATTTTTGTTTGTATATGTTGTCAATTATAGTTTTAAGAAAGAAAATAATAATCGGCAGGTCCCACTTACAAAAAAATCGGAAATCGGAATCGGCCAATAAAATTACAATTGGTGCATCGCTACCTCTGACCCTTTGCTTAGAAGCGCAGATATTCAGTTTTACAGTATGTTGGAGACCCAGATGTGGCCCCTGTTTATGAAAACAAGGAGTTTAGTGAGGGAGTGTATAGACGCTTATGGCTGTTAGTTTTGCTGTCTGGTCTGTATCAGATAGCCAGGGGTGTAGATGTGTTGTTTGGCCTAAAACTGCAGATTTTAGGCCACATTGGTTGTCCTCTGTCACTCTTTCATGACTTCTGTTTCTTCACTCCTAAGAAGAATTCTCATTCTTTCACACTGTAAAGAAATGTTCCTGACTCAAACCATCCCACATGCTGTCAAGCACCACATAAAATAATTATAACACGTCAATCAGTTCTTGAAATCAATCCCAACGTGTGTATATTAATACACTTACAATGGAGGTCTATAAGGCAAGGCATTGCACAAGGATAAATGTTTAAACACTTAACATTTACATTTATACCATGATCTAAATGCTCGATTCTGATTGGCTGGAAAGTGTGTGTTAAAACTGTGTAATGCACAGGTAATTCCAGTCAGTCAACCCTCTACGCACACCTTGGCAATATAATCGCCATTGGCTAGTAAATTTTTTTGTTTACTCACCAGACTGATATACTATTTTACACACACACACACACACACACACACACACACACACACACGTTTAC